TGGGCTGGCATGCGTGCGCGTGAATGCCCGCAGGCCCACCGCTTGTGCGAGTTGTGTGCTTGCGCACATGCCAGCCGCTCACATGGCCCAATTCCAAGTAGGCCTCGGCCAGGCAATGGGCTGCAGCCCAGGGGTTGAGGACCTCTGATCTATGTCCATTGACAACAAAAGCCAGTTATCAACAATCAACCTATATGGACCATCCTTATATCCAGTTTGCCACAGCCTCCAAATATAATCTTTACTACTTTTCTTTGTACTGTATTATACAGTATTGTACAGCAAAAAAACATATTACTATTATAAATGCTACACAGAAGCGACTTTTTTGGTAATTAAGCAGTATACAAACAAGGCAGCACAACTAAAATCAGAATTCTCTGTAGTATTGTAAGAATACATGCAGTGCTATGCTATTGTTGGTTTTAAGTAAATGTCAAGGGCACCTACATATTCTGTGATTTCTATTTCTATTGTAAATGGCCTTTGAAGCAAATTAAATGAAAGAAGTTTTAACACTATTTGGGCAGAAGAACATATTTTCTAATTACAATTCTTATCACAAGAAAACAGAATATTGTCCAACTTATTCATATGTTTTACACACAAGGCAACTGGAATCTTACAATTTAAAAACCATCAGAGGTTAGATCACAAAATATTGCCTTATATTTCTGTACTTCTCTTTCTCCCTGAAGAACTGAAGAAGCATCTTGAATGAGAAGTGAAATCTTAAGGAAAAAACCAAGAAAGTCCAGTTGCCTTTTCAAAAGCATCTTTGGGACAATCATGACCCGAATGACTGAGAATCTCCATAGACGTGCAATGTTAACATTACCTGCACTTGTTGGGGTTGTTGCACTTGTATTTGTTGCTCTTGTTGAGTTTGCTGCTGGACACTAGTTGTAACAGGACAGGCAAGTTCAAGCAAAGATCCAGCCACTTCCGTGCTATCTGTATAAATGCAGTTGCCTCCTTGCTGATATACCATGGTTGTGGTAGCAGCAGTCTGCTGAAATTCCTGTAGGGCTTCAGGGCCCTTGGAGGCAAGGGAGTCCAGGAATTCCTTCATCCTATGTTGGGGGATTGTTCGTGCTTTCACACGGATGTATTCTTCAAAGGAAATTGTGTTCTCCAAAGAATTATTCATATTGCAAAGTCCTCAGGGTTCCTTAGAAGAAAAAGGCAATAATTTATTAATTCTGAGTTTAAACTCTAGACCACTGTCTTCATATCTGTCGTCTTTATAAACCAGTTGAATCTTTCTTCAAATCAGTCCCATACATTCACTATTAGCTATCAAGAAACCTATTGAAATAATTATGCATAATATATGAAGTTAACCATAACCTGAAATCTGTCATCACTATATTGCCTCTTTTCAAAACTGGATGAATAAAACTAAATTAAATCAAATCAAGCAATTAAAAAAATTGCAACTATTTGAGGTGGTCTCTTTAAAACTTCAAAAAAGCTGCACAAGTAATTAACTAATTTTAATAACTATAGCAAAATAACACCTCAGAGATAAATGCCTTGGAAAACAATGGTAAATGGCTGTAAAAGGAACTTGCTACATTTCTTTCATTCTTTAATTATTCCAAATTCAAAAAGATAAATGTTCTTGACTGTCAATGCAATTCTGATTCAGAAAACAGAAAAAGTGTAAAACATTACTTAAATCAAGGGATTTTATTTATGGGAATTTCTAGGAGTGAGTCATTGACTTTTATTTATTATTCAAATGTATATATCACCCATAACACTAAATGATTGAGGGATTTACAAATAAAGAAATTCATACAAAAATAGACAGTTAAACAGACAAACTTAAAACGATGAAGCGAACACAGCCAACCAAACTGCACTACCATGGTTATTGCTGTCTTTTGAGATGCAATTCAAGGTGCTGGTGGTTACTACAAGCCCAATATGGCTTTGGACTGGGATCCCTTTCCCAAGAGTCTCTACCTGTCCAACTAGCCAGAGAATGGGCGTGCTGCAGATCCCATCAGCCAAAGAATATTGGCTACTGAGGATCAGAGGGCGAGTCGGACTGTTCTATAGAACATCCTCTCTTTGGAGATCAGAATGGCCCCAAACCCTGTTAGCTTTTCGTAAGATCCTAGAAATCTGGCTATGTATCCAAGACTGGCCTGGGCATCGATTGTGTCAAAGGCCCTATTTCCGGTCTATATTATTAACTGGCCAAATATCTTGCTTTTGTGTGCACTGAATTGAATGTTTTTTTAAATGTTTCCCTTAGTTTTATTCTTTTTGTTTTAAATGTTTTAATCATATTTTCTGAATTGTAAACCACCCAGAGTCATTGACTGATATAGGTCGCCATAGAAATTGAACACATAAATAAATAAACCACCCACAGGGTCCCACACCACCCACTGGATCTCCAGGCTAGTTGACAGAGTCAGAAGACCCTGAGAGGAATGAGAGTTTGCCTCACTCCAGGAGACAAGACTAACCATACATACATACTAGCCACACAATAAAAAATGTGTAGAGAACCATTTATATGACTTCTGTGCAAGAATTTATTTTTCTGATAAGCTTCTATTAAAATACATACGAACACACCATTTAATCCTTTGAAAGAACAGGAAAGGGAGCACCCAGAAAAGCTCCTTTAATGGATGAGTAGGACTTCACTGTTCTATCTACTTTCATCTTCCTCATTAGGACTAGTAGAACTGTAGAAAGTTAAATTAAGGCAAATTAATTAACCTACACTGTTTAAACCATTGAATATTCTTCTATGTGGATTACATCCAGGCCTTAAAAATGCAATTGCATGCAAGAAGTTGCTTGGCCAGTGTCAATCAAAAAAGTTATAGTAAATATACCCCTTTCTGAAAATTCTAATGCATGTAAACGCATGCATTCTTGAATGCATGTTCACAGAAGTTTCTTCTGTGACTTTGACAATAATCAGGTAAGAAAAAGGATAGAAAGGTTACAACCATTAGTGTGCAGAAGTGATCATGAAACATGCACACATACACATCAGGATCCAACTCATTACATTAAATTTAGTAATCTGCTATTACAGCCTACTACTATATATATTAACAATCTACTACATCGTTTGATTTGTTTCTGATACAATACCATTTTAATGTATTGAGGCATCACTGAATATTGTTATATCTCATATGTAGAGAAAATGTGAGTCACATTAACCACAGTTTAACCTTTTAAATAATGTCATCCTTTTCATTTAGATTTGTATCAGGAGTATTAGGGAATCAATGAATCATCAGATTAAAATGTTACTTTATAGGTAACTCATATATCTGATTCACTCTATAAAGCAGTAAATCAAATACCAGTTCTATATTTCAGCTGCACGTATTAAAATTAAAATATTTAATTAAAAAAAAACTTCTTTCAATGACAGTTTCAGTTGATAAATCTTTCTCTTGCAAGCCAAAACTAATGATTGCATTCCCCTAGCTGCTGACCCAGTAAGCACAATTTCCCAAGAGGAATGAAGATTAAGTGTACCATCTACACTTTTGCTTAGAAAAAAATAGCGTATCAAAGGGAAGAGTTGGCAACCCTAACTAAAAACCAACCAACTAATAGTTTTTTAAATATATTTTGACAAATGTATGATGGTTCTTCCAAATAAAAATGTAAGTTTAGAAGAAAGCTATATTATTTTAAATTGGAATAGTTATGAATATGAATAGTTAGTATATGCCGTCCAGTTACTTTTTTGTGAAATAAAAAGGTAAAGGTTCCCCTCGCACCTATGTGCTAGTCAATCCTGACTCTAGAGGGCGGTGTTCATCTCCATTTCAAAGCTGAAGAGCCAGTGCTGTCCGAAGAGGTCTCCGTGGTCATGTGGCCGGCATGACTAAATGCCAAAGGTGCATAAAACGCTGTTACCTTCCCACCAAAGGTGGTTCCTATGTTTCTACTTGCATTTTCACATGCTTTCAAATTGCTAGGTTGGCAGAAGCTGGGGCGAGTAACAGGAGCTCACTCGGTTACACGGCACTAGGGATTCGAACCACCAAAATGCCGACCTTCTGATTGAGAAGCTCACATCTTAGCCACTGAGCCAGCTACTACTGTACTAATAGGTCTTTATTTAGAATTAGTATTATAAGTAGTCCTTGACATAATCATTCATTTAGTGACTATTGAGATGTTCAATGAGATAGAAAAGAATTATGGCAACCAGAATTCACTGAAAATGCACCAGAATGCACTGAAAACTGTTGCAGTATCCCCATAGTTACGTGATCAAAATTTGGGCACCTAACAACCATCATGTACTTACAGCAGCCATAGCATCTCAGGGAACATGATCATGATTTGCGAACTTTCCCGCAGGCTTCTGACAAGGAAAGTATAT